AAGTTTTTTTGTTGGAGAATTGCAACTTTTAGGTCTGTAATTGAGTGACCAGGGAGGTTGAAGTGTTCTCCAACTGTTTTTTTAATGTTATAATTCTTGACCTCTGATTTGTGTCCATTTATTCTTTTGCATACAGACTGTCCGGTTTGGCCAATGTACATGGCAGAGGGGCATTGCTGGCACATGATGGTATATATCACATTGCTAGATGTGCAGGTGAATGAGCCTCTGATGATGTGGCTGATATGATTAGGTCCTATGATGGTGTCTGGGTGTCTTATCTATATCTTTGAACAGTATTCGTTAGTATTTTTTCTTCAAGTGCCTTTAACAGACGTTCACAGATTTCTTTGATATTAAGCAAATATGCGAAGGAAAGTTCTGAAATATAAAGGACAATTAAATTAAAGTCAATTGAATTATACCATGTTAAGTTGGGACAGAGACTTTTTATTCTGTGTTTTTACAAAACTTAGCACAATGGAGTCCTTGTCCATAACTAGGGCTCCTAGGTGCTACAATAATGAATTAATAATAATTTGTATGTTCAGTTTCTTCAGTATGAAGCTGTAAACAAGTCCTTTAGTGACAGCAGATTGCTAAAATTTAAATATTATGAAGTATTATTCTTTCACTATATATTGTTGGAATTTTTTCTATGTATTTTGGGTGATCATCCTCATGTCTCCATTGAGCTGACCAGAAGGAGAGGAAATAAAAATGTCTTGGAAGAAGCATACATGCAAGCATACATATCTAAATGCGTGGGAAACAAGAAGCTCATTTTACTAAATGTGGACAGCCCACCAAAGACTTAAAGATTTCTCTTCTGGTCTCACTAAAGTTAATGGCAAAATTTCCAGGATTGGGCTCAAAAATACCTTTTAAATATAAAACATTGTTTACATAAAGTTTAAAACAAATGTTTATTTAATCACAAACTCTGTGTAGCAATCTTTAGTAGTCAGAGACAGGCAGGCTAGAGGATTTAAAGGCCTAAAGTGAAGTCAGGGGTGCTTAATGCTTCAGCAAATCATTCTCATAAGAAAAGACTGGCACACAAGTTAACATGTAGAGTAAAGTACACTATGCTCAATAAATCTGTAATCCCATCCAGGGTTTCTGGTGACATAATTACTCACGTGTGACAGACCCAGACCAATGGGGTACAGGAGTCTGGTAGAGGGCAAATATACTGGTCACTGGATGAGTAGTTTTCTGTTCCCTGAGTGACCAGAGCAGGGGCTGCACTAGAGTAATCAGGAACCTGCTAGAACCAGTTAAGGCAGGCAGGCTAATTAGGACACCTGGCGCCAATTAAGAAGAAGCTGCTAGAATCAATTAAGGCAGGCTAATCAGGGCACCTGGGTTTTAAAAGGAGCTCACTTCAGTTTGTGGTG